ATAAAAACCACCCAAAAAAAAAAAAAAAAAAAAAAGGAAAAGGAAAAGAAGTGTTTAGTCAAGCCAACTACCTCTCTTCATTATCATTTTGTTCCCCCATCCCACATTTATTTTGGGCCCTGCATGTATATAACTTTATTTTTTATGGTAAGATTGCCATCAACCTTATTAACTTCTTTGTACTAAAGCAGATAGCAAGCCAGGTTGCCTTTTTAAAGTACGGTCTGAAGTGTTGATTAACATCTAGGGTAGATTCATGTCTTAGCTCATCTTTTGCAAAGGGAAGGTTCCATTCTTTGCTATTTGACTTTGAATTTGTATCTTGGGCCTCCGGAGGTTGGCAGGCTTTTCTGACTTCTCTGGAACAGGAAAGAAAAGCTTCAAAATGTGTCATCTGAGCACGCTCTTGAGTTATCTGGGGATTTTGTTTTTTAATACTGTTGTAACCAAAATGTTCCAAATGCCTGGTTTGGGAATTTCTGGTTCATCTAGTCGCTAATGTCTTCAGCGTTGCTCTGTCAGTTTCATTCCATGAAGACAATGGGGCAAGTGCTGAGAGATGTGGTTATTGAAAAGCAGAAGAACAAAAACATATTAGACTTGATGATGTCCCCATGTTAATTCGCAAAACATCTAGAATTACTATGAAAGAGAGGCCAACAATTAGTTTTCTTCTTCTGGATATGATTTAGTGAGACAGTGATACTGTTGAAAATTCTAAGACAGTTCTTTGTTTCTTGAACACATAAAAAAGTTCCCATAGAGACAAGTACTAATATTTTGCAATAATGTGAGATGTTCTGATTAGATACTTTTAAAAAATCAGATATTAAGTTAACCCTATGAATCCCAGTGTGCTTCTTTTCCATCATTTGAACATGTCCAGGTTCAAAGGAAAAGAACAATCCTGATTCTCTATAGCTTCTTCTGTTTTATTGGGTTGTCAGAAAAGTCATGATGCATTTTTGCATAGAAAAGCAGAAAAAAATACATCATAACTTTTCCAACAACCCAATAGTTGACTTCAGATTATTAAGGAGGGCAAGAGACCTCATGATTTGCTGGACATCTTCCACCTTATGTAATAAAGGGTTTGTGTGGCAGTGGAGCTTGCCAGAGCAGTGCTGATAAATGAAGTCATGATGCAGAGGGTTTGCTCGTTTCGTGCTGTCGACATTTCAGCCAGTCTGATTGCAGATTCTCAAGGTGACACTCTAAATGGGAACTTGAGGACTTGTTTAGTGGTGCAGGGGAAACGTTCTGCTCAAGCAAATATGGAAGATCACAGGTTCAGTTCCCTGGTCAGCCTATAAATGCCAAGTGCATGCACCCGTGGTCTTCCCTGGCTGGGACGGCTGGGGAAGAGCAAGAAGAGGGATCCCTTTGAGGGTGCTTGTCTGTCTTTCTCTCTCTCCCTCTCCCACTCCTTCTCCTCCTCTCTGTCTCTCCCTCAGTATCTCTCTCACCCTCTTGAAACAAATAAGCTTTAAATAAATAATATTTTTAAAAGGAAAAACAGGAGTGTGAAGGACTGTGCATTATTGTCTTATCAATTGGGGCTCCTACTTGCCATCCCAAATATAGTACTTCACCATCATGATGATCAGTTCAATAAAACCTCTAGTTTCCCGCGTTGCACTAGACCCTATGGGGAAAAAAAAGGTACACCTTGGACCTGCCCATTAGCACAGGCAGTCAAGGACTCATGAACTAAAGTCATCATGTATGAGCCCAAGGAGAGTAATTATAGGAAATTAGAAGAGGAGAGGACTTTTGCTTGGTAGCACTAGGGGAGGTTTCACAAAGGAGCAGGATTTGTGCTTCTTTTCTTTTAAGAGAAAATTTTTTTTTGCTATAGGCTGCATGCATTTGCTGGAGAGACAGAGAGACAGACAATGAGAAATCACCCCCAAAGTGATGGCCAGATCATACTCCCTTCTCCTTCATTCTCCTCTCGGGATTTTGGGCATGCATGTACATCTGCCCTGCGTGCGTCTTAAGCACCTGGGTCTGGGGCTTGAACTGTGGTCAACCATATGGGAGTCCAGCAATGTAACCATTATTCCATGTGCTGGTCCCTGTGCTTGGTTTTAAGGAGGAAGATTCTAACAAATAGAGATGAAGAGAGGAAAGCACAGAGGCAGTATCGTACGGTGGATAGTGGTAGGACGTTGCATTGTTTAGGGCATTGAGGTGGGCTTGAGACTCTGTGTGTGTGAATTTCCAGTGGATACGGGTTATGCATGTACAGTGTCCAGAAGATCAGTGTTTATGAAGTGCTCTTAGAAAAGATTCTGAGAATCTACTTAAACTGGCCACCCATTCATCAAGGCCATAGTGAAATCTCCAAATACCATCAGTTAGCAAAGGAAGGAGAGAACAGACACAAGAGTGTGTAAAGTCCATACCTTGTTAGCTGATATTCTGTGAAAACATCCAAGAAATGGGAAAGTCTTCAGGGGAATTGGCAATTTGACCTTGAGTGGCTTTCATCTAGATACTTCCATTTCCCCTTTTTCTTTTATTCAAGTAACTTTTATGCAATGTGCAAAATTTAGAAACTGAGCAAGCGAGGTTCGTTTACATGAGAGCTGTCCCCTCAGCAAAATACGTTTCACTGACAGCTAATGGTCAAAGGAAATGACAAGTATCTTTGGTGGCTTTCACTTAACTAAGGAGTACTTTGCAGTGTCCACTACTAAAAATTAGTAAGAGCATCAGTATTGTCTAGGTGTTTTATTTTGGTGAGGTAGGGGGAAGGGGGGTGATAGAAAGAGGCAGAAAGAGAGATTAGGAAGTCAGCAAATTTGTAACTAGAGTCAACATCACTGAATTCTTAGTGTACTTACTGTCACCTGAGCTGAGAAGATTCACGCATTTTATACCTTTAGGAATACGAAGGTCTTGTTTTAGAATTCTTCTTAAAGTTTTTTTTAAAAACAGATTTAGGGCTTTTTTGCTTTGCCATGACCATCACAAATGGTCCACCTGTTAAGAGTCATGTTGCCAGTTTATAAATGTAATTTATTTTACATAGTCACGCTGCCTGGTGACTAGTTTTCAGAATCTCACTTGTCTTCTAAAGGTGACACTCTAAATGGGAACTTGAGGACTTGTTTAGTGGTGCAGGGGAAACGTTCTGCTCAAGCAAATATGGAAGATCACAGGTTCAGTTCCCTGGTCAGCCTATAAATGCCAAGTGCATGCACCCGTGGTCTTCCCTGGCTGGGACGGCTGGGGAAGAGCAAGAAGAGGGATCCCTTTGAGGGTGCTTGTCTGTCTTTCTCTCTCTCCCTCTCCCACTCCTTCTCCTCCTCTCTGTCTCTCCCTCAGTATCTCTCTCACCCTCTTGAAACAAATAAGCTTTAAATAAATAATATTTTTAAAAGGAAAAACAGGAGTGTGAAGGACTGTGCATTATTGTCTTATCAATTGGGGCTCCTACTTGCCATCCCAAATATAGTACTTCACACTCATGATGATCGGTTCACTCAAACCTCTAGTTTCCCGCGTTGCACTAGACCCTATGGGGAAAAAAAAGGTACACCTTGGACCTGCCCATTAGAACAGGCAGTCAAGGACTCATGAACTAAAGTCATCATGTATGAGCCCAAGGAGAGTAATTATAGGAAATTAGAAGAGGAGAGGACTTTTGCTTGGTAGCACTAGGGGAGGTTTCACAAAGGAGCAGGATTTGTGCTTCTTTTCTTTTAAGAGAAAATTTTTTTTTGCTATAGGCTGCATGCATTTGCTGGAGAGACAGAGAGACAGACAATGAGAAATCACCCCCAAAGTGATGGCCAGATCATACTCCCTTCTCCTTCATTCTCCTCTCGGGATTTTGGGCATGCATGTACATCTGCCCTGCGTGCGTCTTAAGCACCTGGGTCTGGGGCTTGAACTGTGGTCAACCATATGGGAGTCCAGCAATGTAACCATTATTCCATGTGCTGGTCCCTGTGCTTGGTTTTAAGGAGGAAGATTCTAACAAATAGAGATGAAGAGAGGAAAGCACAGAGGCAGTATCGTACGGTGGATAGTGGTAGGACGTTGCATTGTTTAGGGCATTGAGGTGGGCTTGAGACTCTGTGTGTGTGAATTTCCAGTGGATACGGGTTATGCATGTACAGTGTCCAGAAGATCAGTGTTTATGAAGTGCTCTTAGAAAAGATTCTGAGAATCTACTTAAACTGGCCACCCATTCATCAAGGCCATAGTGAAATCTCCAAATACCATCAGTTAGCAAAGGAAGGAGAGAACAGACACAAGAGTGTGTAAAGTCCATACCTTGTTAGCTGATATTCTGTGAAAACATCCAAGAAATGGGAAAGTCTTCAGGGGAATTGGCAATTTGACCTTGAGTGGCTTTCATCTAGATACTTCCATTTCCCCTTTTTCTTTTATTCAAGTAACTTTTATGCAATGTGCAAAATTTAGAAACTGAGCAAGCGAGGTTCGTTTACATGAGAGCTGTCCCCTCAGCAAAATACGTTTCACTGACAGCTAATGGTCAAAGGAAATGACAAGTATCTTTGGTGGCTTTCACTTAACTAAGGAGTACTTTGCAGTGTCCACTACTAAAAATTAGTAAGAGCATCAGTATTGTCTAGGTGTTTTATTTTGGTGAGGTAGGGGGAAGGGGGGTGATAGAAAGAGGCAGAAAGAGAGATTAGGAAGTCAGCAAATTTGTAACTAGAGTCAACATCACTGAATTCTTAGTGTACTTACTGTCACCTGAGCTGAGAAGATTCACGCATTTTATACCTTTAGGAATACGAAGGTCTTGTTTTAGAATTCTTCTTAAAGTTTTTTTTAAAAACAGATTTAGGGCTTTTTTGCTTTGCCATGACCATCACAAATGGTCCACCTGTTAAGAGTCATGTTGCCAGTTTATAAATGTAATTTATTTTACATAGTCACGCTGCCTGGTGACTAGTTTTCAGAATCTCACTTGTCTTCTATTGAAGTTCTCTAGGGTTTATAAGAAAGGACCACCTAGGAGGAGCAAGTCCTTTCTCTACAAAAGCAGCTGTCCTGTTGGTAATGAGTGTGCCTTTTCTTCTTTCTCCAGATATTCCGTTTGTTCTTCTGACCTTCTGGTGACTTCTGAGGGAACTTTGTTTATAAAGCCTATCCTGTTCACAGAAAAAAAAAATCTCCTTTTATTTTGCTATGGATTTAAAATAAATAAATTAAGGAAATTTATAAGTGAGCAAATGTTTTCATAACATTTATTTGATTTTTTAACTAGAGTTTGAATATTTTTCTTAGTGATCAACTTGTTTAATTTTGTAATAACTCTCGTCCCCTACCACCATGACTTGGTATTTTTTGTATGTGGTAATAGAAATGACACCAGAACGTGAATAATCATGTCTTTCATATAGCTATAGAAAATTCACTTCGGTAATGTCAGCTAGAAACCTTCCTCTTATCTTAAATTTCTAAGAAAATCCTCAAATATATATATTTTTTCCTCATAGGGAAGAACAAGAAGAGACATCTGCAATTCGAGTTGGTTTCATCACATACAACAAAGTTCTCCATTTCTTTAATGTCAAGAGTAATTTGGCCCAGCCTCAGATGATGGTGGTGACTGATGTTGGAGAGGTCTTTGTTCCTTTGTTGGATGGTTTTCTTGTCAACTATCAAGAGTCTCAATCTGTGATTCACAAGTAAGAATTCATTTTATAATGTAAATACAAATCAGGTGCCTCTTTCTAATTGCGTTATTTTCTCATTCAGCCATACGTTGTACTGTTCTGTCATTAGCGAGGGGGTTTTTAGACATGGATTTGAAAACTACCATTTATGTTATGTCTATCTCTTTTTTATGTAGAACCATATCTAAAAGGAGGAATTTTTTTTTTTTTTAATACTCACACTCAACCGTATCAATCCATTCTCTTTGCTGGAAAAGTAATAGAAGGGAGCTGTTTCCTGTGTGTGCATGAATGTATTCAGGGATACCAGATACAGCTCCAGCTCCAGGAATCTATGACTTAAGAGATCAGTAACGTAATGAATGGAAAAATTATCTCCAAAGAGTGTGATTGTGTAAATGTTCCATCCAAGTCCTAGATTTTGGTGCCAAATCATGCTAGAATATCATTCTCTAAGGAATGACCGATGAAATTCACCCGTAGGTATTGGGCGTACAATAAATACCATACGTGTTTAAACCTGAGATGTTGGTGATTTACTTCCTGAAGTTTATTACGAACATGTGAAACGTGTCAGACCTTGTGCTCATTCGTTTACTGCAGTTTACTGGACCAGATTCCAGAGATGTTTGCAGACTCTAATGAAAATGAGACTGTCTTTGCTCCTGTTGTTCAGGCTGGCATGGAAGCACTAAAGGTGAGAAGAAGCCCCTTATACTTGCTGGAAAATACATTTTAAAACAGTGAGACAAATATATAAATAAATAAATATAAGTTTCATTTATGAAAGAAAGTCAGTCTTTATTAAAATGTGTAGGTCACAGGACCAGCACATGGTGAAATGGTTATGTTGCTAGACTCCCACTGTAGTCAACTGCAGTTCGTGTCCCAGACCTGGAGGCTTAAAATCATGCTGGGCACGTGTGCGTGCGTGCCCAAGATCCTGAGAGGAGAATGGAGGAGAAGGGATTGTGGTGTGGCCATTCCCTGGGGAGTGATTTTTTGCTTTCTGTCTCTCTGTCTCTGTCTCTCTGGTGAGTGCCCATGCCCTATAACAAAAATCTCTTAACAAAACAAAAAACAAAAAAACGTGTAGGTCACTTAAAGCTATTCCAAACTTTTAACCAAATCTCGGGAGGAAATGTCCCAAACCACAGATTGCTCCTAGCGTTTACATTCCAGCTCTGTTAGCATCTGACCGATTAATTTTGCCAGGATTTCCAGTTTAGCCCCTCCCTTTGGCCTTTATATGAACTTTATATGATCTATTTTAAAGTTAGTTCAACCATATCTAAACTATCCATCTCCCTTTCCTTCCTTGGGGTCTTCAAATATATAACGGTAGGGCCTTGTGACAGCTGGGCAGGCAAAGGGACATGAATGCTGCTTGGGGCTTTGCTGATTGCCAGAAATAGACGAGAGGGTGACTGTGTCCCCAGCTGGGAGTTGAACCCAGATAACTCTGATCATCTGCAGTAATACAGAGAGTAATCAAAGAAGGCAACATAACTAAAATACCCTTACTCTGAATTGTTTACCTTAGCACAGGAGTCAAACCACTTTGTCCTTTGACACCTAGTGCCCTAAAGGTAATTTTCAAAATTTATTATTAAAGATAAATTTAAGTTAAAAATAAAGTGGCTATTAGGGGACCAGCAGTTGTCGTAAGAGCTATGTTGCTGGACTTCTATGTAGTCGACCATAGTTCAAGTCCCAGACCCAGTGACTTAAACTCATACTGGGCACATGTGCGTGCCCAAGATCTCGAGAGGAAAATGGAGGAGAAGGGATTGAAGCATGGCCATCCCCTGGGGGTGATTTCTCACTTTCTGTCTCTCTCTGTCTTTCTGGTGAGCGCACGCACCCTATAGCAAAAACCTCTCCAAAAATAAATAAATAAATAAAGTGGCTATTAATAATAACAGTAAGGGACCAGCAGGCGGCATAGTGGTTGAGGCATTGGATTCCCACATGGCTGACCACAGTTCAAGTCCTGGACCTGGTGGCTTTCTTTCTTTCTCTTTCTCTTTCTCTCTGTCTCTCATGAGTGCATGTGCCCTACAGCAACTTAAATAATAATAAAAAATAAAATAAAATAAGTTTAAAATAATAATAATAATAACAGTAAGAACAAACAGCAACAGCAGTGGTCAGAACTGAGATGATGAAACACTTCCCGAATAGGGTTTTGTGCCTTTTTTGTAGCTTGGACCTAGGTTATGACTTAGTGACTCTTGCCTGGGTGGTGTTTGCTGTGCAGTGTCCTCACTTTGGGGATCAGAGGCTATTATGCATAGCCATCAGAAAGTCTCAGAGCACATGTTCACTTAATAATACATTTCATATCATAAAGCAACTTGGAGATACTAGCAGAAACCAATAGTGATAATTGGTTGGGTTCCAGAAATGCTTTCTCCACATTTCTGTAAACAGATACTTTTGGTTTCCATTTGAAAGGGTTTTTTGTTGTTGTTGCTTTTTCCTCCACTAAGGAATCTAGAAATTTCTATGTAAATTTCATTGTACAGGATACCTAATCCTGTTAGTCTTTATATTTTAAGAAATTAGGGCTGGGAATAATTAAAAGAGCATAGGAAAATGCAAAGAAGGGTTGGAAAGAAGGGTATAGGCATGGCTTCCAGTGGACTCAAGTGCAGAATCCCAGCTCAACCTCACTTTTCAATTCTGAAAGAGAGCACTTCTGTCTTGTAACAGTGGCTCTCCGCTAACCATTCACAAGAGGTATAGAGGTTGCTTGGTAGATTTGAAAGAAAAAAATATATATAAGGCAAATTTGTGCACATGGCATTCTGTTATCTGACATTTCATGTTAATTATGACACAGTACAGGGAAACCACTACATTCTCAATAACTGGGATGTGCTGCAAGATTGCTCACACTGTAATGGCCACAGCAATCAGTACCTTAACTATCCATCAGTTCACTAGAATCCCGTTCCCTTCTGCCAAGGTCTCTTCATAACTTTTGCATATTATTTTTGTTATATTTGCAATGTTATTATTATGTTAATGTGTATCTTTTTAACTTGGAGTGACTCTTTGGTCCCATGTTTCCTCCTAACTGCTTTATAAATAGATTGTTATTATGGATAACATATTGATGAAAAGCTTCTTCTCCATCTGTCAGGAAACTGCTAGAGGATTTCAATTCAGTGTACAGGAGCAGAAACTGCTTCAGAATAGTTGGAGCTTGTATGCAATTTATACTTTCTGCCTAACGGCAACTTTACCAGCTTTGGTTGAAGAAAGTTTTCCTAATAGGCTGCGAGTGTGTGTGAGTGTGTGTGAGTGTGTGTGTGTGTGTGAGTATGAGTGTATGTGTGTGAGTATATGTGTATGTGTGTGAGTGTATGTGTGTGAGTATGAGTGTATGTGTGTGAGTATATGTGTATACATGTGAGTGTGTGTGTATGAGTGTGAGTATGAGTGTACGTGTGTGTATGTGTGTGAGTGTATGTGTGTGTATGTGTGTGAGTGTATGTGTGTGTATGTGTGTGAGTGTATGTGTGTGTATGTGTGTGAGTGTATGTGTGTGTATGTGTGTGAGTGTATGTGTGTGTATGTGTGTGTGTGAGTGTGTGTGAGTGTGAGTATGAGTGTATGTGTGTGAGTGTATGTGTGTGAGTGTGTGTGAGTGTATGAGTGTGTGTGTGTGAGTGTGTGTGTGTGTGAATATATGTGTATGCATGTGAGTGTATGTGTGTGAGTGTGTGTGAGTATGAGTGTATGTGTGTGAGTGTGTGAGTATGAGTGTATGTGTGTGAGTGTGTGTGTGAGTGTGAGTATGAGTATGTGTGTGAGTGTGTGTGTGTGTGAGTGTATGTGTGTGAGCTTATGTGTATGCATGTGAGTGTATGTGTGTGAGTGTGTGTGTGAGTATGAGTGTGTGTATGTGAGTGTGTGTGTGTGTGTGTGTGTGAGGGTGTGTGTCGTTGTATTGCTATCTCTGGCAGTCATATATCTCGTTATCTTTTCAGATCCTGTGGGGCAGAAAAATTAATTGGGCTTAAATTCATGTAATTTACACATGAGGGCACTGAAGTTCTTGCCGCTGTTGTTAGTAGGCTATGTCCTAACAGTTTCAAGAATTTGCATCAGAATGTGAAAGAGGCCATAACATTCATTCACTTGTCGTTTCAGTCAACAAAGATTTATTAAATGCCTATTTAATAGGACCGTGGAGGGGCTACTGTCCCTGCTCCTAAGTTGATTCCAGTGGGACAGTAACCCTGCAACACAGGCATAATGTTCATTGTTTATGTTTTAAAAGGCGGAGGGCTGCTGGGAAGGACAGAATGTAAATTCAGAAGACCCCGTACTGTGCTCGCCTAAACAAATAGCTCAGGGCAGTCTGCACAGGAGGCCAGACATGAGATTCTTATCCCTTGTGGACAGCGAGTATAAACTGAACGAATATCAAAGCGAAACTTTTCTTCTTGTGTATTCTCTAAGTGAAGACATTTCAAAACTGGACTGCCCGATCCGAGTTCTAGCTCTACTCTCTCTCAGCTAGCTGCCAAGTTAAATCTATATAGAATCAGAAGTAATAAACTTCTTGAAAAAAGCAGAGTAGGCAAAAACTAACAAAAAGCATGTGTTAATTTGTCACAAGATAAACAGGGACTATTTGGAAAGTTTTACTTTCGCAAAAGTCCTTGAAGTACCCAACAAAAGCCTTCAGCCCATTATTTTCTATTGTAAATACTTCCACGTCCGCAGCATCTTGTACTCCGAGCGTCTTTATTTTCGACAGAGTCTTTCAGAATCTTCGTTTCTTTTAGAATCTGACCCTCATAACTCAATGATATGTGCATTTCTGGCACCGTCTTTTAACTTGGCCCAAGCACTGTTTTCTGAGTTAGCTATTACTTCCGCCATAAAACTTGGGGTAAGAATTTAACAGAAAGTTGGAGGGAGATGCTTTTCTGTGGTGGTGCTTAAAATACACCAGTGATTGGGGAGAATTTGCCTTTCAGTTATCCTCAGTATCTCCTTAAATTTGATTTGATGACAGCAGCACTCCTACAAACATTCATGGAGCACTTCAGAAGTGAAGCAGCAGTGATGGGGGTCGGAGAAACACAAAAGAGGGTCTTTGCTCCTCCAGGGAGTCTTTGATCTGCAGGAAGAGACAGCAGAATACATGAGGTGGTGAAATAGTGTCATTAATTCTAGAACCGTCTAGTCTGAAAGTACACTGGCGATAAAGAGGTAGAGACACCCAGCTTTGCTGAGAGTGTTCATGAGGGAAGGTCTCTCATAGGAAAGGTCTCAGAGAGAAGAACATGGGAACTGGTATTTAAACAATGAGGGTCAGCCTTTCCTAGTCTGTTTTCTACCACAGTAAGAGTGACATATGTCATTCATTTAATTTTGTATGACTCCTGTGTGCACAGCCAGATTTGGGCTAAAACATAACTAATTTTATAGTAATACAAAGCATGTAATCCATAGGAACTGTTTCTTGTTTAAATCTGCTACTTATAAAAATTTTCTAAGTATGCAGTTAATGAAATTATGGATCTAAAATTAATTAAACTTGCATAAGAAAAAATAAATATGGTGGCTCTTCATTTTTTCAATATTGAACTTTTTTTCTTCTCTTTTTTTTTAGTGGACTCTGATTTTTTTTTTCCTTCAGAGTTTTACTGTGCACAACACTTAAGAAGACAACAAGTATGTCTAATTACACTGAACCCCATTGACTGGGTTGCTGATTTCTCCCAACAGTGTTTTATGTCATTATTTCTCCCAGGTTATATATTAGATAGCAAAAATTAGGAAGTTAAAGAATTTTCCTACTTTTACTAAGCTTATAAAGAGTCTGGGATTCTGTTCCTAGCAGGTAGGAAATTAGAACCTGTATTCTTAACTACTGTGGTATAAAATTATAGTACATCTCTGAGTAGACAAGTAGAGAATATATGGATGGATAGGAGAGTTTTTGACAGTGAGTTTCTTAGAGAAATTATTTGAGTCAGGCAAGACAAATTTGGGAGAAATTAGACTTTTTTGATTTTTAGTTTTATGTATTTTCTGCTATTTAAAATATCTGTAAAGTGATTTCTTCTTCAAAAATAAAAATGATAAGAATTTAAAAGTTATACCAGTCAACAATTTTAATATGCTTGTGATAGCCTCGCTGCCTAAGCTTTTTCATTTATCTTTGTCTTCTTTTTTATTGATATTGTGCTTATGAGTTGTTTTCAGTCGAAGACACTTGCAACATGAAGCTCAAATTCATGCTCCCTGCTGGCCACAGCAAAAAGCAAGACTGGCTGTGTGTCAGCTGTGACCCCACCACTGTGACTCACACCTCAAAACCTTGAATTCTCTCAATGGGATTTTTTTTCCATAAATGAGAGAGAGAGAAAGAGCACCTCCCACAGAATCTACCCCCAGCCTTTAGCTAGCCCCACATCATGGGCGTGCATATGCCTGGCATAGTCAGAGAGGTCTCCGGACTTGAACCAGGAACCTTTCCATGTGGGCTGGCATTACAGAGCATCACACTATACTGTTATGCCACCATCTGGCCCCTCCGTTTGTTTTTTAAGGGCACTATTTACAAACCTAAACAGCTTATAATTAGCAGCACATAATTTATAGTACATCAGTAACTAACCCAGGCACATCCATGTATACCTCTGAGCCCAGTCCTTGAAAATAACAGATCTAGGCAGAAAAAAGGGAGACATGGATTCCAGGCAGGAGAAACAGAGTGTGCAAAAATACGGAGGTCTCTAAAGTCCATGGTACGTTCCAGGAAAGTGAGACATGTGTGTGCAGAAAACAAGTGCAATGGATGAGGAAATGTTGGAGATTAGGTTAGAAAGGTGGTCAGATTAAACATCAGTGGACTGAAGCTGTCCTTTACTGGCAGTGTGGCCAGGGGCAAGCCGAATAAGCCTCCGTTTTCCCACCCTTGGAATGCAGACAGTAGTTCCTACTGCCCAGTTTCGAGTGCTAAATGAGAACACATGGGGGCGGAGCCTGGCACAGAGCAGTGCACCAGGGGTCAGTACAGCCCAGCTCACTGTGTCCTTCCCCTCCTGCTCCCACCCGGGTTAAGGACTGTGGACTTCATTCTGTCCCACGCCTCAGGATGTTAAGGGGGAAAGCCACGCATCTGGTCGGAACATTGCCTTCCCTTTCAAGGGAGCGCTCTGGCAACACGGGTGGTGGGGTGGTGTCGTTGGAGATGGGGGTCCGGCCCGGGGAGGGCAATTTATTGAACAGTATTTAATTTTAGGAAATTTGCTCGGTGGTTACTTGTTAGTTCCTTGAAGAAGCTTTTGCATATTCTTATGCTAAATTGACTTCCATAGGCCTGAGCCTGTTTCTCAGAGACAGCAGACCCGTCATCTCATCACGCTTTTCCTTCTGTCATGGGCATGACAGCTGCTCCCTGTGTCCGCTGTTGCCACGGCACCAGCACACGCTTCGCCTTCCTTGAAATAACACATAAGCGTTAACCCACGTTGGCTAAGGTCTGAAATAAGAGCTGCTCTTACATCATGACCCTGGGAATCCTGTCACCCACTTTCATGTTGTGGGATTCCACTAACCCTGAAAGACTGTATAAGAATTTTCATTGTAACACATTTCAATATATATGTTTAAGCATTATGGCATACAAATTTATGTTTAAATATCGGCTCCTTCCTTTACAATTTGTGTAGCTTAAGGGTTCGCCTCTATATGCCTCAGTTTTCCGATCTGTAACATGGAGGAAATATGTATCTGCCCAAGGATATGATGAGGTTATGATGAGGATTAAATTAGATGAATATAGTGCTTGTCTCATAGAATATGTATTTTCAGTTATTTTCTTAGTCTCTTAAGAGGAACCCTCCCTACCCAAGGCATTTTCTGTGACTTTTTCAGGCAGCGGAGTGTCCCGGAAAGCTGTTTATCTTCCATTCCTCCTTGCCGACTGCCGAAGCACCAGGGAAGCTCAAAAACAGAGACGACAAAAAACTGGTTAATACAGACAAAGAGAAGGTACTTCGTTAACAGTTCCTCTTTGAAGTGTCCCTATTTCAGTTCTTAAGAGAGGATTTTAAAAAAGGCAATGCGTGGAACAGCAGATGGCATAGCAGTTATGCTGCTAGACTTCCACGTGGCTGACCACAGTACGAGTCCCCGACCCAGTGTCTTAAAACTCACACGGTGCCACATGTGCATGTGTACCCAAGATCCCGGGAGGAGAATGGAGGAGAAGGGATTGCAGCAGGACCATCCTCCCTGAGGGGATGATTTCGCACTTTTCCTCTAGTTGTCTCTCTCTCCAGCAAGCACACATGCCCTAAAGCAAATACCTCTTTGAAAAAAAAAAAAAGAAAAAAGGCAGTGTGTTCTTAGTGTAAAAAGGGGGAGCAGATAAATGTAATATCTGTGTCCAGGACATTATATATTACAGGCCCATATTCTTTCTTTTTTTTTTGGAGAGGTTTTTGCTATAGGGCGCGTGCACTCGCCAGACAGAGAGACACATAGAGAAAGAAAGCAAGAAAGAAATCACCTCCTAGGGAGGATGGTCACGCTGCAATCCCTTCTCCTCCATTCTCCTCTCAGGATCTTGGGCACGCATGCACAAGCGCCTGGCATGAGTTTTAAGTCACCGGGTCCGGGACGCAAACTGCGGTCAACTACGTGGGAGTCCAGCGACAGCCATTACGCTAACTGCTGGTTCCCAGGCCCATATTCTCAATTGTAAACAATTTAAAAATTGTTATATTCTTAAAAAAAAAAAAAAAGCCTTTATCTGAAATGTCTAAATTAAAATAAGCATCCAAACCATTTCCTGTATAATCTATGTAAGAGAGACTGAGTGATAAGATTAATATAGAAATGGAGAAGGCCCTGCCTCTGGTCTCTGGTCTACTGGTTAAAGAAACCAGATCCGGGACCAGTAGTTAGCATAATAGCTATGTCACTGGACTCCCACGTAGTCAACCGCGGTTCAAGTTCTGGACCTGGTGGCTTAAACTCACGCTGGGCGTGTGTGCGTGCATGCCCAGGATCCCAAGAGGAGAATGGAGAAGAAGGGATTGCGGCATGGCCATCCCCCCCTGGGGGGTGATTTCTCACTTTCTATCTCTCTGTCTGTCTCTGTCTGTCTGGGGAGTGCACGTGCCCTATAGCAAAAACCTCTCCAGAAAAAGGAAAAAAAAAAAAAAAGAAGCCAGATCCCACATGGCCAACCACACAGTTTAGAACCTGGCCCTGGCTTGTAAAACATGCTGGGTGTTTGTGCATCCATGCCCCAAATCCTAAGATGGAGAAACGAAGAAGGGATTGCTCTCTCTCTCTCTCTCTCTCTGGCTAGCTCAAATGCCCTCTGGCAAATTTTAGAAAAAAGAAAAGAAAAGAAATAGAGGAAATGGGGAAAATGCAGAAAGAAGATAATAGGTAGAGGGAGGAGGCAGAGCTTACCTTATGGCAGCACTCCTTCGAGGCAGAGGCGTGAAGCATGAAGTAGCGGTGATTGGTGTTCAAGATACGCCTTGCCTAAAGTCTCCGACAGTGTTGCAGCAGGGGAGAGGCAGTAGGAAGAGTAAGGCACTGGATATAGGCATCTAACTATTGGCCACATGACACCAAACAAGTTGCCTCTTCTAGGTCTGAAAAGTGAGGACAATAGTATCAGCATCATTCAGGCTGTTGGACGATCAAATGTCAGAAGTCTTCCAAAAGTTCATGGGACAGGGACCAGCAGTTAGTTTAATGGCTATGTCGCTGAATTCCCATGTAGTCAACCGCGGTTCAAGTCCTGGACCCAGTGGCTTAAACTCATGCGGCGTGCGTGTGCGTGTGTGCCCAAGATCCCGAGAGGAGAATGGAGGAGAAGGGGTTGCAGCGTGGCCATCCCTCCTTGGAGGCGATTTCTCGCTTTCTGTCTCTCTGTCTGTCTCTCTGGCGAGCGCACACGCCCTATAGCAAAAACCTCTCCAAAAAAAGAAAATAAAAGTTCATGGGAAATGTGTATTATGAAAAAACTACATGGATTTTGTTTTTTGCACTCACACTCATGTTAAGCCTATTTTCCATACACTTTTTAAAGTCCTCTTGTACAGTTGCACATATACAAGCATTTCAGACAGCGTGGACACAGCACAGGTCGGGAGCGTGATGCATGACTGCTACATTGATGATTACAATGGGTTCTCCAGCCCACTTTACTCCGCCAGAAAAAAAAAAAAGATGTATATGTCTTCATCTTAAAAATTCAATAAGGCTCTCTAATAGAAATTTAGGTTTTAAATTTAAAACATTTTGTGGTTTTCTTTGTCCCGTTTTACATCTTTGTCTTTTTTTTCCAGTTACTTTTCCAGCCCCAGACAAATGTCTACGAGTCACTGGCCAGGGACTGCGTGGCTCACGGCTGGCCTGTGGCGCTCCTTTCCCAGTCAATATGTGGACGTGGCTTCTCTGGGGCTGGTTCCTCAGCTCACTGGAGGAACCCTTTACAAATACAGCAACTTCCAGGTAAATGCCAGTGACTTGTTCACATCGTTTTTCTACCCCCAATTTAATTTTGGTGCTCGGGTTTTAGGTTAAGTCTGTACCCCTGTGGGCAACCAACAAATGTAAATTCAAGAGCAGATAGAAAACCATCTATACAAGTGGAGCATCCAGAATGCTTCAAATCTGAAACCTTTTGAGCCACCAACATGACACCACAAGTGGGAAATTTTATACCGGATTTCCCATGATAGATCATACTCGACACCCTGCAATACAAAAATATTGTATAAAATGACTTTCAGCTACATGTATAAGGTGTATATGATACATACATGAATTTCGTGTTTATACCTGGAGTCTCTCCCCAAGACACCCCACTTTGTATATGAAAATATTTCAAAACCTGGAAAAAATCCCAAACACTTCTAGTCCTAAGCATTTTAAATGAGGGATACTTAACCTTAGGTAGCTAAGCAAGTCCGTATGCTCAGAGGGTTTGGCAGTAGACAGAGCTCTCCTTCATTCTCATAGTTAAACATTCAATGTAAGTTTCCATATGGGGGAAAATACATTTTACATAAAATATACTTAAGGTGATGTTTTTAAAAGTAAGTCCACATTTATTTTAAACTAGTGGGATTTGGGGTGTCAATTCTTTACACCCCTCTCTTCCAAACTTGAATTGAGAGGCAGATTTCAGAGCTGACCGGAATGTCAGCACAATGGAGCTAGATCTGTGGGCAGCGTCACCCCGTATCTGACACACGTATACTCCCAAGTGTACGGCGGGAGCCTGCACGTTATAGCCTTACTGCACTGAGGGGCAGAAAATGTATGTCTCTTGTAGGCAGGCTGCCCCCCCACAGAAAGAGGGATGGGACCGAGCCACTTTCACCCAATTCCTTTTCCTAAACTTACCAATACCAGCTGAATCAGCCCCCATAGGGTTAGGGTGCCCTTCTGCCTTGTGTATCTACCTCCACTTGAAAATAGGGAGTGGGGACTGGTGTTTCCCCAACGTGAGTGACACATGGTAACCCTGTTTTTACTTATCACTGACAAAATTGCTATAAGTTATTAATAGAGCTTAGCTTTATATTTATATTATATATTAGTCAAAGAACTTGCTAAGACCAAAAATTGGAAGTGACATCAAGTTGAAAGACTTTGGAGCCCTTTCCAAGACTTCTGAATGTGCACATTGTAGAACAGCTTTCGGAAATATGGCGATGGTGGGTGATAGAGCAGAGAGAAGGGATTTCCATTGTTCCTGCTCATGAACTGTCCCCTCAGTTGCTGCGCCAGACTTGAGTGTGACCACACTGCAGATCCGACAAGATGAGAGGACTCCGGACCACAGGTTCTTTCCCCAGTCTCATTCAATGGATGTTACACATCAGGCCTTAGTCTGGTCTCTGAGCCTAAGGCCCTGAGTAGATCATTCAAGCCCTTTCATTTCCCCATTTGCAAAATAAAATTAGTAGCCAATTTTTTCTTTAAGTGTTATAAAAATGGAAAAAAAATAGATATAAATGTAATTTTAAAATTTAAGGAACCAGCAGATGGCGTAATGGCTATGCTGCTGGATTCCCATGTAGTTGACCGTGGTTCAAGCCCTGAACCCGGTGGCTTAAACTCATGTCAGGTGCATGTGCGTGCATGCCCAAGATCCCCAGAGGAGAAGGTAGGAAAAGGGATTGCGGCGTAGCCATCCACCCTGGGGGATAATTTCTCACTTTCTGTTCTCTCTGTCTTTCTTGCGAGTACATGCACCCTATAGCAAAAACCTCTCCAAAAAAAAAAAAAAAGTTAACCATCACTGTCCAAAAAGCCTGTATTTTCCTTAACCAGAGAAACATACGCATATAAATATGCTAAACCTGGATTTTAAAGGAATTCTTTTAAATCATGATCGAAAATAAGCATTGCTGGGACCAGCAGACGGCATAATGGTTACGTTTCTGGGCTCTCGCATAGTCCACGGCAGTTAGAGTCCTAGACCTGGTGGCTTAAAACTCATGCCAGGCTCCTGTGCGTGTCTTCCCTACATCAGAGAGGAGAATGAGAAGGGAGATGGCGTGGTCATGCCCCTCGGGGGTGATTTCTCACATTCTGTCTGTCTGTCTCTGTCTCTCCTGCGAGCACACAAACCCTAGAGCAAAATCTGAAAGTAAGCTTTGTTACTGAAAGTGCTTTACTGCCACCTGGTGGGCATTGATCATACTTTATTTTGCAGATGCGCTTGGATAGCCAACAATTTCTGAATGACCTCAGAAATGATATTGAAAAGAAAATAGGCTTTGATGCTATCATGAGGGTTCGTACCAGCACAGGTAAGTATCACTTATACTATTTCCTGGTTCTCTCTTGTATAATTGTTTCCTCTTCACATTAATAACAGGCCAACCACAATAACAAAAGCAGTAAAATAACAAGAAGCAAAACATCCTTTTCCCCTTATCTTTAGGCTTCCGAGCCACTGATTTCTTCGGCGGAATTTTTATGAACAACACCACTGACGTTGAAATGGCCGCCATAGATTGCGACAAGGCAGTGACCGTGGAGTTCAAACACGATGACAAACTTGGTGAGGACAGTGGAGCTTTAATCCAGGTGATTCAAAGTCTACTCCCATCTTTTGTTTTAAATGCGTTTCTGATAATGAGCCATGGGGAGATGAAAATACCATCAGATGTGTGGTTTACTCATAAAAAAATGAAAATATTTTTCTTCAAAGACAATAATCCTTAGATTAGTGCACTCCGTTGTATGGTTTCTCCATACTCTGATTTCATATATGCTACATATATGAGGTTACCATTGGCATATACCATTGCATGCGGGCCCAGAATGCTTGTGGTTAAGTACTGCAGGCACTGACAAGCAGCTTCCGACAGTATTCAGTTCTCGTAGGTGGCAGGACCTAGTCACTCCTACCAGCTGTATATAGTTGGCCAGGGCTGCCATAACGAAATGCTACAGACTGAGCACCTTGAACAACAGAAACCTACCCTCTCACAGCTCTGGAGGCTAGAAGTCCAAGATCATGGCTTCTGAGGCCTGGAGGGAAGGGTCCGTTCCAGCCTCTCTCCCTAGCGAGTAGCTAGATGTTGTCTTCTCTGTGTCTTCATGTTGTCATCCCTCAGTTATGAGCGTGTGATCAAAATTTCTCCTCTTATAAAGACACCATTCAAATTGTATTAGGGCCCACCGTAATGACCTCCTTTTAATTTATTTATATTTTTAAAGACTTTATTTCACTAGAGTTACATTCTAAAATACTGGAGGTTAGGCCTTCAACATTGGAATTTCTGAGAGGAAAAGTTCAACGCATAACACCATGTTAAACACTTAATTTTATAGGGAACCAGCAGTTAGCGTAATGGCTATGTTGCTGGATTCCCACGTAGTCGACCGTGGTTCTCATGCCGGACCCCGTGGCTTAAAACTCACGCCGGGCATGTGTGCGTGCGTGCCCAAGATCCTGAGAGGAGAACGGAGGAGAAGGGATTGTGGCGTGACCATCCCCCCTGGGGGGCGATTTCTCGCTTTCTGTCTCTATGTCTCTCTCTGTCTGTCTGGCAAGCGCACGCGCCCTATAGCGAAAAACCTCTCAAAAAACAAAACAACAACAACAAAAAAACCCACTTAATTTTATAATAAGCAAGTGGAATAGAATTTGGCTTTGCAGTAAATAAAATTAACTTGAAGCCATGGAGGCTTTAAATTAAAACAGTAAAAAAATATATCTGGTGGCCACAGTTTTCAGACATTAACATCACCCTAAAAGGATGGCAAGAGGTTGACATTATATATTGAGGAAGAATATTAATTTTTTTAATTAAAAAAAAATTTTTTTCTTCTTAGATTTTTGCCATAGGGCACGCATACTTGCTAGATAGACATAAAGAGAAAGTGAGAAATCACCCTCTAGTGGGAAGGGCCAGATCTCAACCCCTTCTCCTCCACTCTCCTCTTGGGGCCAGATCTCAACCCCTTCTCCTCCATTCTCCTCTTGGGAATTTGGGCATGCGCACACACATGCCCAGCGTGATGAGTCAGCCACGTGGGATCCAGCTGCCTTAACCTCCACATCACCTGCTGTCCAGTAATATTTATTTTTTAATCACAGATATTTGGAGAAATAGTTACATCTCTGTGTTCTTTTTTTTTTTTAATTTTTTTTTAGAGGTTTTTTGCTAGAGGGCACATGCTCTCGCCAGACAGACAGAGACAGAGAGACAGAAAGCGAAAAATCACCCCCCAGGGGGATGGCCATGCTGCAATCCCTTCTCCTCCATTCTCCTCTCGGGATCTTGGACACACACGCACACGCGCCTGGCGTGAGTTTTAAGCCGCCAGGTCCGAGACTCAAACTGCGGTCGACTACGTGGGAGTCCAGCGACATAGCCATTGCGCTAACTGCTGGTCCCACATCTCTGTGTTCTTGAAATGTATCATCGGCTTAAGACCTAAGCTCATCATCTATACTGATCATATTTTTAGGGGAAATACGACTGCAGTAGGCTCTGAGCACCTGACAGGATTGTTTCCAGACCTAGATCCCCAGTAGTAAATAATCTGAGATAGCTGAAATGCAGAATAGTTGTGGGAGTGTTAACGGATACTTTTGCGAGGAATCCCGTAGTTTAAATCTGAAACACTACATAGAAACCCAGTAGATAAATTGGTCATTATCCTCATTTCTTGTTCTTTCTTTGAACAATTTAGAAAAAAAGAATTCTGGAAATAATTAGCTGTCCTTTAACTGTACACACTGTTTCACAAATGCGCATCAGATCAGACTAGTGTGGGTATGTATGTTAAACAGGAAAACGTGTGACCTCTGTGTTGCTTCCACAGTGCGCTGTGCTTTACACGACAATCGGTGGTCAAAGAAGACTTCGGATTCACAATCTCGGCTTAAACTGCAGCTCCCAGTTAGCCGATCTGTATAAGAGCTGTGAGACAGACGCCCTTATCAACTTCTTTGCCAAGTCAGGTAATGCTCTGCCAATCCTGAGCTTCGGTGAACCTTGCTTAGTAATTGGTTAATTCATCCAGTCATTGGCAAGGAGAGGGGGTAGAGCAGCCATTTGGTGGGGAAATTCATAACTCATAAAAGCAGATGGGAGATCGAACAGTTCACGTCTTGAACTCATAAATGAGAACTCAGTTCAAGGCCGGGCTGTGCAGATTGTATTTAGTTTCCTTCCTCCCTGAGCTGAAATTTAGGAAAATGATGCTTAGACCCGTATGCGTTCTGAGTGTGCCCCTGCACACGGGTAGTGGAAGGGGACTGTAACTAATGTTAGACTGAACCAGCTTATCCATACCATGATAACCATGAAACAGGACAGGCCCCATGGTAGAAATTTCTTTGGCTTTCCTCTGAAGATTTTACAGTTATATTTGCAAGAAGTGGCAGTCCAGCCAGTAGGAACCCAACACATCAGAAAACAACCATCTGCCCTTCGTTGTGTGTAAAATTCTGTTTCTAGGCAGCTGGACCAATGTAACCTTTTACTGTGGGCAGGCCATTGTTCTCCTGGCTAGATCATCATACTTAGGCAAAAGAAAACCATCAGCAAACAAATTTAATATTGAAGATAGAATATTGATATAATCTCTGCATCGAGAACATGCAGATACTAGAGACAGCATGGGGGGGTAGGGATGGAAGAGGGTGAGAGAAAAGGAATCAAGGGGAAAAGAAAGAAGCAAAATGTTTAAGGAACACAAAAATGGAAAATTATCTGATGATAACATGTATGATACTATCTTTAAATGGACTAATATACAATGTAGTCATGCTGGGAAAATTCATTTTGCAAGCTGTGATCAGATACAGTGATTGAATAAAAAATGAAAATCACAACAGATATATAGATAATTAAATAAGTAAATGAATGTTTTTCAAAAGGGCTGATCTGAAGACAATAGCAATTATTTATTAATATTATTATTATTATTATTTGGAGAGATGAGTTCTGAACTAAAACTCTGACTAGACCATTTCATTATTTTGTGCACATAGCTTTTAAAGCAGTTCTACAGCAGCCTCTGAAGGTCATCCGGGAAATTCTAGTTAATCAGACTGCTCACATGTTGGCATGCTACCGAAAGAATTGTGCAAGTCCTTCTGCAGTAAGCCAGGTAAGCTGCCTATCAAAATTAGACACTAAAGTGTGAAAAGGACTACTCATTTCTTTATCAGGGAGCTGTGGCAGGCTTATAATGCTGTACACACTTAGAGTCTGCAGAGTCAGCCTGACAGTCAAGAAGACAAAGAATGCAATGTTAAGGGCCCGTGGCATTTTTATAGCCAACATTTAAAAATTTGACTTTACAAGGTGACTGAACCAAATGCTGCATGCATATGTGCTTGATAGTCTGCATGTTACATATACACAGAAGAGTGTTAAATGTAGGAAGCATCATAATATAAACAGGATTCTCTTTTGTTTATACAGATGGATACTTTGTTGTGAACTGTGTATGCTTAAATACCTTTTAGGCATGTGAACCAAGTTGACAGGAGCTGATGGCAGTAATAACATTGTATTTTAAACATAATTTACAAAAGTAAATATTGGAATTCTTTATTTTTTTTAAAAAAACTATAAATAGGTATGAAGAGTTTAAAAAAATATCTCTGGTCATCATTTAGTAATTTGAAATTTTAGAAAATTCTTTAAATAAACCTCATTTAGAGTCTACTAGTAAAAACTCAAGTCCATTTTTAACTTTTTTAATGATAGAGAATATGAGAGCATACACATAGAGAAAAAGCACCCTCTACAGCATCTAATCACACCATAACTCCCCTCCCCAGGCTCTCTACTGCCTCAATGTCTTTATTTTTTTTTTACATTAAAAGTTCTAATTTGTAACAAAAATGTAATGGTTATAAGTATATGTGGACCAAATAAAATCCTCAGAATCTTGAGTGCCTGCACACACACCAGCATATTTCAGGTCGACTTGGAGATCCAAACCCATGGTCAGCCTTGTGGTCTCCAGTCTTGTGGGGTACTGTGTTCCCCTCTATGCCATGGTTGCTGGGTCTAGTCCATTTATATTTGCATTTTCTCCCTTGTATACATTTTTCCCTGTGTCAATAAAAGTTAAATGCCATCTTTATAGTTGTGTATCAAATATCTGAGTGTACAATTTTTTAGGTTTATTTATTCAATGAGCAAGAGAGACAGAGAGAGACAATGGGTTTCTGACAGGGTCCTCCCACCATGATCCATGCCCCCCAACCCAGCCAGCCCCAAGCCCAGGCACATGCAATGCCCAGTGTACTCAGGGAGGTCTCAGGTTGTGAACTGGCGACCTTCCCATGTGGACCTGCCTCTCACTCTACACCACTGTCCGGCCACTGACTACAGAATTTTCCTTAAGAGAGAAGACAGTGAGCAACAAACAGGAAAGGTTTTCATTCATTCTTGTTGATGACAGGACATCCGAAACCCTACTTGAAAGTAGAAAAGACAATGCTGATACATTGTGGGTCCAAATTCAGTATCTGAGTAAAGAAGGAAAATAAAACAATTGATTAGATAGGACTTTTCATAGAAGTTTCTTTCCATGCTATCCAAAGTGATGAGTCATCCGTTCTTTCATCTATACCCATAATCGGGAAGCAACTCTTGAATACGCAGTCTTCCTCATCATTCAGAAGATCTGCCCCTTCAGTATGCTCACGCCTCAGGACAGTTTCCCGGTGTGCTGTCTAAGTTCCACGAAACCCACCAGGTGCACCTGGTGTCTTGCCTGGAGCACGCCAGCCATGGGAAAGTGGGTGTGAGCACTTGACACCCCGGATTCACTGCTCATCTCAGAGCTCTGGGAATGGCATTCTGGCTCTGGAGTATCTCACTTCAGAAGGCTTAGCTGAAGTAGAACAGGGATGGTTAGTGTTCTCTCTAACAGTTTATTTGCTAATGCTAAAGCAAGTGGATTCCAAGACCTTATGTGAGAAACAGTCCTGTTGTCTATTTAAGGAAAAACTAAAATCTGTAGTTCTGGTTTTAATGTTAAAAGCATTGTTTCTATTACTGAATCATCTGCTGACTCAGTTCTTTCTTTTTTAAGTTTACTTAATTATTACGTGAGTGAGGGAGACCCCCGGTGGGGGAAAAGGGAGACAGCATCCCCAGTGGGGTCTCCATGCCACGCTCCATGCCCAGGTTTAAACCCAGGTCATGGGCACACATGTGCCCGACGTACTCAGGGAGGTCTCTGGCTGCAGACGAGGAACTCTCCCATGGGGTCTGCTTGGCAGAGCATTGTGTTTTACTGCTGTGCCACCATTCGGTTCCCACTATTTCATCATTTCTGGAGTAAAAATCATTATGATGCCAACTTTTCTCTGAATAAATTCAGATTATTTTGTTATTACAGTGAGATTTTCCTTGTCTGTTGGGACATTTCAAGTGTGCCCTTTAACTAATGATATGCTTTAAAGAAATAACGTATGTACCTTATGATTATCCACCATAGAGTCTGGAAGATGTAGAAATTATAAAACTGCTAGGAGCAAAAATAACACACCATTCACCGAGAAGGCAGAATAGCTGGACTTAGGGTTCTCGCCAGGCAACGTAACTACAAACTCAGGGCCTCCCCCAGAGCCTTTGTGGGAAATAATATCTGTGGGGAAATTTCTAAAGGGAGTAGTCCATTTTACCACTGAGCCCCAAGTTGTCTTGATCCAAGCAAGACCACCAAGGTGCTGTATACTTGGATTACATGATCCTGGGCCTCAGCTAGAACTGCTTTCATGGAATTACCAGGGCCAGAGTGAGGTTGAGGCAAGCAAAAGAAGGCACTTAGGGTGCAAAACTTAAGGAGGTGCCTACTCTAAAGGTTAAGATTTATAACCAGCGGGACCAGCAGATGGCGTAATGGCTACGTTGCTGAACTCACACATAGTTGACCACAGTTTGAGTCCTGGATCCTGCAGCTTAAAACTCATGCACAGTGCGTGAGCATGCGTGCCCCAAATCCTGAGAGGAGAATGGAGAAGGAACTGCAGCATGGCCATCCCCTGTGATTTCTCACTTTCTGTCTCTCTGGCGAGTGCACATGCCCTATAGCAAACATCACTCTCATTAAAGAAAAAAAATATTTATTAAATCTACTATCTCAATGTTCTGAACTTAAATATATTGTGAGGTTGAGGCAAGCAAAAGAAGGCACTTAGGGTGCAAAACTTAAGGAGGTGCCTACTCTAAAGGTTAAGATTTATAACCAGCGGGACCAGCAGATGGCGTAATGGCTACGTTGCTGAACTCACACATAGTTGACCACAGTTTGAGTCCTGGATCCTGCAGCTTAAAACTCATGCACAGTGCGTGAGCATGCGTGCCCCAAATCCTGAGAGGAGAATGGAGAAGGAACTGCAGCATGGCCATCCCCTGTGATTTCTCACTTTCTGTCTCTCTGGCGAGTGCACATGCCCTATAGCAAACATCACTCTCATTAAAGAAAAAAAATATTTATTAAATCTACTATCTCAATGTTCTGAACTTAAATATATTTATATTATATAGTGAGCTCAAAAAGCAAGTGAAGGGACCAGCAGATGGTGCAATGATTACATTGCTGGACTCCCACATAGATGACTGTGGTTCGAGTACAAGACCTGGCAGCTTAAAACTCACGCCAGGGGCATGTGTGTGTGTGCCCATGATCCTGAGAAGAGAACGGAGGAGGGAACTGCAGTGTGGCCACCTTCCTTGGGGGGCTGTAGGGGAAGTGATTTCTCACTCTCTGTCTCTGTGTCTTCGGTGAGCACACACACCCTAGCAAAAATCTCTCTTAAAAACAAACAAACAAAAAAAGGCAGAATTTTAACTATAAAGCAATAGTCTTTTTAAAAAATTAATTTCTGCTCCTGTCATTTTAAAACTCAAAGGAGAACATTTCAAATGTAATCAAACTAGGCCTATATGAGTTTCCACTCCCTCCTCTCTCATACCGTTTCAGCCCCGAGAATGAACTGTAATCAATGGAGGGGATCAGGGAAGCAGAGGGAAGAGTTTATAGGAGTCATCTACTGCCCCATTTTCTTCCCTATCTCAAAAAACACTGAATAAAACTGTTTTCTTATATCTTTCACTCTGTTTTTCTTCTTCATCATCAATTTTCCTTCTCATTTTACCTCTCCTGTTTTCTTCCCTCGACCCTCTATAATCCAACCTCCTCTGTCCGACTTCTTAGTGCTAAGAGCATCTTCATGGTCAAGTGCATCCCTCTGTGGCATTTAGGCCCACAGATTTCTGCACTGCCCCAATTTGACCGGATTAATTTGAAGAAACCAGTGAAATGTCAAGGTTTTTTTTAATTGCCAGGAGAGAGAGAGAGAAAGAGAAAGAGAGGTGGTATTTACTATGGGCTAGGCATTCTTGCAAGAGCTTTACCAATTAAGAACCATTTAATTCTTGAGACCAGCAGTTAGTGCAATGGTATGTAGCTGGACTCCCATGTAGTTGACCGCAGTTCAAGTCCTGGACCCGGTGGCTTAAACTCATGCCAGGTGTGTGTGTGTGTGTGTGCCCAAGATCCTGAGAGGAGAATGGAGGAGAAGGATTTTGGCATGGCCATTCCCCCTGGGGGGTGATTTCTTGCTTTCTGTCTCTCTGTTTCTGTCTTTCTGGCGAGCACATGCGCCCTATAGCAAAAACCTCTCAAAAAAAAAAAAAAAAAAAAAACCATGTCTCGTAACAGCCACCTCATCATCAGGGAACATACTATTAGCCATTTTTCCGATAGAAAATTGAGAAAGAAAGAGGGTAACAATGGGTCCAGAGTCACCCCCTAGGGAGAGGCAGGAGGCAGTTTGTCCAGAGTCACCCCCTAGGGAGAGGCAGGAGCTGGGCCTGCATCCTATTGTAGGTTATGCTGATGACCCAGGGGCCAAGCTGCTGCAGGAGATAAAATAAAAACTGCATTTCTTTAAATGCTTGCTATGTGCCAGTTGCTGTGGTGTGTTTTACAGTGCTATGTGCACTGATACAACAGCCTCAAAAGCAAGTGATCTTTTATAGTTTATTTATTTGTTCCATGAGTGAAATCAATAGTGCAAAAGAGAGAGACAGACAGACAGACACAGCACCCAGGGCAGGGTCCTGATGCCATGATCCACCCCCATCTCACCCAGCCTGGATCATGGACACACACATGCCTGTTGTGCTAGGGGAGCTCTCCAGCCACTAACAACAACCTTCCCATGTGGGTCTTCCTTGGGGGTGTATTTTACCCCTGAGCCACAGTGATGCCCCGATCTTTCTACTTACTGAGAAAATTCAGGGAGTGTACTCGGGAAAGGTCAAGCATATAAAACACATGTCCTTCTTTTTCAGCTTATCCTACCAGATTCCATGAAAGTATTGCCAGTGTACATGAACTGTTTGTTGAAAAACTGTGTGCTACTCAGCAGACCAGAGATCTCCACAGACGAGCGGGCATACCAGAGACAGCTGGTCATGACCATGGACGTGGCTGACTCGCAGCTGTTCTTCTACCCACAGCTCCTGCCAATAGTAAGCACACCTCGGTGGTTCCTTTTCTGCCGGAGTCTGGAAGGGAACCGTGTGACTTTCCCTAAGTGATATTTGAAACATTTTGTTCTTGAGCAATTCAAAGCCACGGATGTCTTCGAAATGTTTAGCATGGGATTTCAAGCAGAGGCTGAGCAAGTTGCACACGTGCATCAGCATGTGCTGGGCGAGGGGTTCCTACTTCACCGAGTGTCCTAATGATTGCTTTTCTCCCCTCACTGCCAAATTGGTGATTTTCAGTTGACTAGGCAGATTGAGAAGTCAGTAAGTAAACTGGAGCAAGCTAAGATGCCAATTGTTGAAAACAAGTCCACCGTATCGTGTTAAAGGCTACTTACATATGTGTGCATGGGATCCCAAAGAGCACACATGATTTATCTGTTTGTAAACAATATATAAATGTCACATTAATCAGAATAGCTAGGATTAGCCTTGCCCAAATGCAGTTGGGGTTTGCAAATGAGGCTATATGTGAGGTCACCTACGCTGTAAGGAGCCCAGCTGCCTGTGGCCTCAGGATTTACATGGCAACTTCGTCTACCTTTTCAAAGTTGTCCTTACTGTCTGCAGTGTCTCTGTTCTCTGCAACTTGGCTCTTTTCCCATGAGACCTGAAAGGTTAGAGTTGAAGGAGAGGAGAAGGCAAAGCTGATCGCCTTTTTCTATTTCCAGTGTTCAGACTCAGCCTGAGGCCCTCAGTAACAGTGCAGTCAGTGTCAAATCCGGTGGGAAAGAAAAAGCTATTGATCCTTTAAACTAATATGAAGGTCAATGTAAATTATTATGAATGATTGCTTTTCAGATAAAATATGATTATCAGCACTCTCTACACCAGAGAAACTAGACTATAACAGGGCATCCCCATTTCACCGAAGTTCTCTTGCCAAGGTCACCAGTGACCAGCACATTGTTATTATAAATCCAGTAAGCAGTTTTTCAGTCCCTCTCTTTTCCAACCTGTCAGCAGATCAGACATGGTCGATGACTCCCTTTTGACATAACTGCCTCAGTTGCCTTCTTCTGGCTTCTCTCCTGCTTCGCTGCCCAGCCCTCCTGCTGCCTTTGCTGGTTTATCCTTGCCAGTTTGTCTCCCTCTTGGAGTGGCCAAGAACTCACTCCTTAGATAGCTTCCCTTTTAATTTGTACTCAGTACGATAGAAGTCTTATCTGTCCTCATGGCTTTAAATGCCATTGAAATACTGCTGAATGCCCAATTCGAATCTCCAGCCATACCGCTGCCTAGACCCTGGAGGCCTCATCCCTGTCGTTTGCTGAGCGTCTCTCCCTGGACGCATGATGGGCATCTTAAAATATGCCCCTGATGGCCTTCCCAGACGATCTTCCCCATCTCATTCATCTCCACACTCTCCTTCTAGTTGTTTAGGCTGAAAGTCTTGCTGTCAATGCCTGGAGCATAGGAGGCAATACAGGAAGGGAGGGAGGAGAAGGGGGAAAGAAAGGGACAGGGGAAGGAAGGGAAGCAGGCGTGTGTGACTCTCCTGTTCTGCCTGCACAGCACACCCTAGATGTCAAGAGCACAATGTTACCCACTGCCCTCCGCTGCTCTGAGTCCCGGCTTTCAGAAGAAGGCGTATTCCTGCTGGCGAACGGTCTCAACATGTTCTTATGGTTGGGAGTAAGTAGCCCACCGGAACTGATCCAAGGAATATTTAACGTGCCATCTTTCGCACATATCAACACAGACATGGTAAGTACTTCATTTTTTTGGTAATATACAAAATATAAATTCTTAAGTGTTTTTACTTATGTGCAACCATAAATTATAAAGAATAAACATTAAGACATATATTGGGTCCCTGGAAAAGTCATGGCATATTTTTATATGTTTTTCTATACAAAAATGCATCATGATTTTTCCTGAGGACTCAGTAGTTCTGTATAAGGATGGGAATATTGGGACCAGCAGATGGCATAGCAGCTACATTGCTAGACCTCCACATGGCTGACCACAGTTTGAGGCCTGGACCCGGTGGCTTGAAACTCAAACCTGGTGCATGTGTGTGCTCAAGTTCCTGAAAAGAGAATGGAGAAGAAGGGATTGCAGTTTGGCCATCTCCCTTGGGGGCCGATTTCTCACTTTCCCTCTCTGTCTCTCTTTCTCTCTGGTGAGTGCATGTACCCTATGACAAAAACCTAAAAGAAAAAAGAAAAAAACATGGATGACTCCTCTGATGATGCAGTCACATAGTAAATGCTGAACATGTATTTGCTGAATGGAACCTGCATATGAAATAGCCAAGGTCTCTCCACCCCCAAACATATAACTGTCCTTCAAAAAACACTTCTTATTCTTCTTCAAAAAATGAAACAAAATTAAGAATGAAATATGAGCTGCTCATTTTTTTTTTTTTTGAGAGATATTTGCTAGAAGATATGTGTGCTTGCCAGAAAGACAGAAAGTGAGAAGTCATCCCCTTGGGGAGGGGTGGCCACACCACAGTCCCTTCTCCTCCATTCTCCTTTGGGCACATGCCCTGTGTGAGTTTTAAGTCACCAGGTCCAGGACTCAAACCACAGTCGACTACGTTAGAGTGCAGCAATGGAACCACTATGCCATCTGCTGGTCCCTGAACTGCTCCTTTTTAGAGACAGCTAGCACGTTGAGATACCTACTTGAAGTCTGCTTACTTTTTGTTATTTGTTGAATTAAAAGATCAACCTTCATGTCACAATACATATGAATATAAATGATGAAATTCCTGCTTTTCTTACCACTCCTGTGAAAAACATTGGCCATAATGGTCAGACGTTCCAACTCACATTGCCTGTGACTGATTCAGATGGTATGCTGGCTCTTGGCCTCTTCTAGCTGAGAAACAAGCATCAGTGCTCCACTCTGTCTTACTGGGAGGAGTCCAAGTCCAGGTCCTTCGCGTCTCCTGGACACTATGTGCGGCTGGTGTTTTGTAGACCACTAGCCAGAGTTCAAGGAAAGAAGGAATAAAGAAACGTTTTTTCTCTCACAACATAGCCCTTAAACATGTTATCTTGTTCTCTTTCTTTGTTGTTGTTGCAATCCTTTTTCTTTCCTCCAGTTCTCCAGCCCATCTCTCTTGTGATATCTTGCTTTCTGTCTCTCTGGATTTTGGTCACACACACATACATGCTTGGCATATTTTTCAAGCAACTGGGGCAGGATCTGAACTATGGTTGGCCATGTGGATCTGACTCCCTTAACCACTGTGTTGTGGGGCCATCCCAAAATATGCCTCCTCAAAGGGATTAAACCTTCATGGGGAATGGTTAAAGATGTCCTTTGCATAAAATGTATAGCTGTTGTATCATTTCTTGATTTTATGTCTCGAGTTCCCAGGGGGGATTTTTAGTTTCCAAAGGCAGATAACTGGTTCATTTGTGGGAAGATGTGCCAATAAGACTGAGTCATTTTTGGGACTAGCAGATGGCATAATGGTTACGTCACTGGACTCCCACATCACCAACTGCAATTCAAGTCTGAGACCCAGTGGCTTCAACCTCACGGTGGGCACATGTGTGTGCATGCCCCAAATCCCGAGAGCAGAATGGAGGAGGCATTGCAGTGTGGCCATTCCTCCCAGGGGGTGATTTCTTACTTCGTCTGTCTGTCTCTCCAGCAAATGCACATACCCTATAGCAAAAATCTCTAAAAAAATAAATAAATACGGACTGAGTCACTTTCAGTCCATTTTTCCACATTTTTGGTTGTCAGGTAAATGAGCTAAACCAATAGTTAAGTGTAGGGTTTTACTAGGCTGTTTTTAATTCTAATAACTTCATATTGCTGTTTCTATTTTGGTGTTATAAACTGTACTGGAAGTTTAATTTTCTTAAATTTTAGACATTGTTGCCTGAGATAGGAAGCCCATACTCTCAACAACTCAGAATGATAATGAGTATTATTCAACAAAAGAGGCCATATTCAATGAAGGTAAGAATGAGGTTTTGTTTCTTTTTTCCTTGCTCAGGAGTTGTTTATTTCATTAAGGCCTTTTAAAATTCATGTCCTATTTATGATATGATTATTGGTAGAAAACTCACTCTAACCTCTACCTACCCACATACAAGTTGCAAACATACGAAAATAAATAGCTATCACCAGGCACGTTAACCATAGGATATTTTAATATTAATACACGAAAATCATCTTCATGGTTTAAGAGCAATTAGTACAGACTTGGAAGTGACTTTTCCTTTGGCACCTAAAATTACTGGATTATAGAAATATCATCCAGAACATTCATTACATTTGATTTTTACAATTATTGACTTGTTATCTTTGAAAAGTGTGGTTATTCTAGATCTTCTAAGCCTTTCTACCCTTTTCTGAGTTTGAGTAAAAGTACTTAAAATGTCTAGAATCCGAGAAAATTATACTCTGTGGCTAAGTCCCTAAAGAAGACAGCTACTCACCTGTCTTCCTTCTCAAGGTCAACGTTACGGTCTCCTGGCATTTGGGCTCTGTGGTGAGGGCGTTCTGTCTAACACTGCTTTTACAGAGGTGGAAGACACCCACCTGGGGGCAGGCCTCTACGAGACAGGACTCTAGGGAACCGATTTTCTCCTAAAACAAATGCCAATCTAAATCAACATTCTTAACCATGAAAATAACTCAGGCATGCAAAGATCAGCTTTAGGTGGAGCCTAGGTAAACTGAACTAATGAACAGGTTCACGGTCTCTGGCAGATGTCTGGGGGAAGACAGAATCTTTCCAGAACTGTTTCAACACCACACAGCACCTTCTCAGGTTAATTAAGGGCAAGATGTAAAGATGGCAGAGAAGGCTCACACTGAACACATACCCTACCCAACATCCTCTGATTACCCTACAGACATAGATTAAAAAAAAAAAATCTTAAGGTCTTGTGAAACACATATTGAAAACTGCTGGTATGAGAGGTCTTTAAGAAGTTTATGAAAAGTATACATTATGAAAGAGTTATGCATGGATTTCAAAATTCTTTCCACCAAAATAAGCTCATACCTTAATTCTGTTTTTGTTAACTTTTTGAAGTCATCTCGTATTTTGAATACATCCCTCCAATTGGTCCCAACTGCAAAGAGGCAGACTAAGCCTGGGTGTTATCATTATGCTCAACAGCCCCTCCTTCAAAGGAAAATGAAAACTCTTCTTTCCTCTGGTTTTTCCTTCCTGTGAATTTATCTGTTATTTTTAAGAATTATTTGACCTTACTAGTTTGCTATCGCTATGAAGAACCTGAAATCCCTGAATGAAAAGTTATTTGCTGGAAACCAGCAGTTAGCGTAGTAGGCTATGTTGCTGGACTCCCACGTAGTCGACCGCGGTTCACGTCCCGGACCCGGTGGCTTAAAACTCACGCTGGGCGCGTGTGCGTGCATGCCCAAGATCCCAAGGGGAGAATGGAGGAGAAGGGATTGTGGAGTGGCCATCCCCCCTGGGGGGTGATTTCTCTCTTTCTGTCTCTATGTCTCTCTCTGTCTGTCTGGCAAGCACACGCACCCTATGGTGAAAAAAAACTCTCCAAAAAATAAAAAGTTATTTGCTGACAATAATGTATATGGTACTATCTTTGACTGGATGATATGCACTGTATTTATGCTGGAAAAAATCCATTTTGCATACTGTAAAGATGTACAGTGATTAAATATAAGTTTTAAAAGTACAAAATAGGGACCAGCAGACGGTGTAATGGTTACGTTGCTGGACCTCCCGCGTAGTTGACCGCGCGGCTTGCGTCCTGGACCCCGTGGGGCGGCTTGAGTCCTGGACCCCGTGGCTTAAACTCACACCAGGCATGTGTGCATGCATGCCCAAAATCCCGTGAGGAGAATGGAGAAGGGATTGCAGTGTGGCCATCTTCCCCAGAGGAAGGTGATTTCTCACTTTCTGTCTGTCACTTGGGCAAGCACACACGCTCTACAGCAAAAATATCTCTCTAAAAAACAAAAGTACAAAATAAATAGATAAAAACTTAATCTATAGATGCCAAAGATGAAAGAAGTTCAGGAGGGCCCTGGACCAGTCCCAGCAACTCCCACCTGCACTTGGCATATACAGGAGTGGGGCCCACAGAGCTCACCAGCTCTGTCAGCCTCTCACAGCTGGATCATGGTAGACACAAGGCTGGCGCTGCTGCTCAGTCCTAGTACACTTGGCAGGACACCATCTTTCACATTTCAGAACCAACCACATGAGCCAGCCCATGGCCTGGTGGTGAAGGTGTCTAGATTCCACAGTTCAAATCCCAGAAAAGAAGATGGCTTGAGAAATATGTCGGGCCATGAGAGGAAGAAGGGAGAGGTGCCCTGGCTCCTCTGAATTATCTGGGGAATAAGTGGAGAGACATTGTTATGCCTGCACAGCTCAATTCCATCTGTGGCCCAATAAATATCAAATTGCGACATTCAGATCATCCACCCTGACTTCCTCAAACACGAGTAAGAGGCTAGAGACAGAAGGGCTCCAAGTATTCAGAACAAAACTGCTTCTTTTCTGGGCTTCTCTCCCATGGGTCTCTTTCCAGGCCCTGTCTGATAATGTAAGTCACAAACGTTCTGCATTTCCTGTGACATGTTCTGTGAAACTGAAGCAGACACGGAGGCACATTCTCAAAATGTTTCTGACCAGCTGTTACTGTTGTTTTTTTCCTAGCTCACAATAGTCAAGCAACGGGAGCAGCCAGAAATGGTGTTCCGGCAGTTCCTGGTAGAAGACAAAGGACTTTATGGAGGATCCTCTTATGTGGATTTCCTTTGCTGTGTTCACAAGGAGATCTGTCAGCTGCTTAATTAATTTAATCTTCTCTATTGTCAATGTTGCATTTCTGAGGAGTGACTCTCCTTCTTGGTGCCTAATTTTCCAGATGATAATATTCTAGTTTTGATTTCTTGCTCATTTTCAGAATAGCTTTCCAAGACAGCATTTAGAACTTCAGCTTTGGTGCTCAGGTATCAAGCCAATGAAGGTACAATTGTACCATAAAGGGAACAGTCTATTTCTGCACAATTTTTTTTTTTAATTTTAAAATTGATGCATTTTTCATTTCATGAAAGCATAGTTTACAGAAACAAACATTCTCAATTTCCATCCTTTGTGCTACACATATAAATTATTTTTCAACCTGTATAGATTTGGAGTAAAAACTTATCTTGGATTCTCTCCCATTTATAGTGAGGGGAAAAATACCTAATTTTTACATTATAGCTAATTTTTTTAAAACCATGTAACTTCATTGAACACATTTTCCAACCTAAGTTTGCAAAGCAGACTTTCAATAACTTTGGAATCTGGTAGAACAATTTGTGTTCTACATTTTTTTCATAATTATATATTGTGTATGTTAAAACTATTTTCCAGTTGTTGTTTTGTCTATAAAACTGTCTATCAATATTCTTAATGGTTCTTTGTACAATTTTGAAGGTTTCTACCTGTATATAATGGATCTTAACCAGTATCAATAAATCTCTTCATATACTCTTAGAAGGTACAATTTTTTAAATGTATTTTGAGATTTTTCAAGTGTCTTGGCAAAAATTTGCCCGATCACTAAGAACAAATCATGAAAACATTTTTTTTGGAGGGTTAAGGAGTGTTAAATAATATATTTAGGGAATATCAGAGACGGTATACTTGAGAAAGACACTTAAAAAGTTCTTTAATATATCTTTGTGGACTAAATAAATAGAAACAGGCTATGTGAGACTGTTCATTATTAATGAATATGAATAAACCTAGGAGAATGGTTTTGCCTGGTGTGATAATGGCCCCCTGTCCTCTATCTGCCCTGTTTAACTCTGTTATCAGTGATATGAATAAATAACCACAGCTCAAGTATTTTGATACTCATCACATCCCAGGAACTGCCTGGTGTGTTTGTGAACATTTCCACATGTACTCTTCCCAACACCCCTAATCCTGTTATCAGCTCCATTTACACATGTCCAAATAGGCTTGAAGGGATTAAGTGGCTTGCCTGTGATTACATGGCTAGTAAGGTTTATTTACCAATTAGCAGAGGTCATGAAATTGAGTGGGAATAACAAATACACTGACAGGATTAAAATCCTCCCTCTCCCCTTAGCCAACTGGCCTGATGCTTTAGATCCACTTGAATGAGTTTAACATGAAGAAATACAAGCACCTAGACTTCTATCAAAAACAACCAAAGAATATGTACATGCAGGAGATGCTTCTTGGAAACAGGTATTTTTAAAAAGCGTAATGGTTAAGGCTCTGGACTCCCATATGGTCTACCACATTTCAAGTCCTAGACCTGGCAGCTTGAAACTCACGCTGGGTGCATGTGTGTGTGTGCCCAAAGTCCAGAGAGGAGAACTGAGAAGGGATTGCAGCGTGGCTGTGGCCATCCCCCCTGGGGGGTAATTTCTCATTTTTTCTCTCTGGTGAGCACATGTGCCTTATAGCAAGAATCTCTCTAAAAATAAATAAATAAATAGAACTCGGGAAGTCTGTCATTATGAGCAGTAGTGGGATTAAAGTAAATGTGATCTCGAGCCACTTTACTACAAGGATAGCACATCAGATGAGTAGTGATGGTCGGTCTCAAAAGTGGAGTGTTCAGGGACAGGCACCAGGCTCTGTGTGGAATGGAAGCACAGAGCACAGTCCTGATTGGGTGCAAGACAGTCTAACATTTGCTCTGTTGTTTGCTAGGGTAGAGACCCAGAACCAACAAACAGAAGTGGCATGGTGACACTCAACAGGAAGAACCTTCCAAGTAATTAAAATTAGGTGCTCAAAGAATGTGCCGTCCTAGGAGGTGGAACGTTCTCATTTAACAACTATATTGGACACCTTCTGTGCACTGTACGGGGGAGACAGACCACAGTGAGCAGCACAAACAAGGTCTCCGCCACCGCCACGATTACAGGCAAGTCTCAGAAGTGCTGTGAAATGTAGTGAGCACAGGGCAGGGAGATCCAACCTGGGTAGATCAGGGGCAGAGAGTAGTTGGTAAAGATTTTCTACAGGAAGTTCCATTGAAACTGAGACCCGAGTTCTGGTAGATCCTCCAGCAGAGGAAAAATTTGTGTGGTGTCTTAGAGTGGGCAAAAGCGCGTACAGCCTACTGAAGAAAGCAAAACTTAAATTTAACTGGAACTTACTGAGGAGAGTAGAAGATAGAAGGGGTTGGGTGGGGACAGAGTGAGTCCTTGTTAAGGGGAAGTTTAGACTTAATGCTGATGGCGAAGTGAAGACATTCAAAATAATTTAAACAAGAACAATAGAATCACTTATATATTAAGGAGAAAAATAGGCAAGACATTTACAGGACATAGAAATGGATTATTGTCTGTAGATGATAAGGTGTTTAGTATCCTCAACTGGACTGGTGTGAAGTGTATTCATGTTTTGAGAATTCACTTTACAAGTTAAGTCTTATATAGTGATTGAATGTATAAAAGAAAGTAAAATTTTAAAAAAAGAATCACTTATAAAGATTACTTTGGGGTTATAAGAAAACAGAACTAGCAACAGAGACCATGTAAGAGGCTGAGCAGTCCATCTGAGTTTCTGGTGGCCTGGACTAAAATGACAGTAATGGGGTAGGGGTGGTAAGGGTTAGGAGCTGAACAGAGGGAGAAGAAAGTGTCAGAAGATGACTTCTCTTTGGGGCAGCTAGTAGACAGACGATCCTCCGAGAGGGGAAGCAGATTGCATCTGTGTGCATAAAAGATAATAGTTGAAGTTGGAGGTGGGCATGGAGCATGGAGGGTGGACAGTCAAGTTACAGCTTCCAAAAGACAACTTAAAATTGAGACTAGTGTACGCTGGCACTAGTGCAAAGGCTGTGGGTGACTTTGGTGAGAGCAGTTTCACTGATGAATTCTAGATGGGAATAGGTTGAGGAAGGGGAGCTGGAGCAGAGGCAACTCAAGAATGGGATGAGAGGGGCCAGCAGGTGGCATAGTGGTTAAGTCACTGGACTCCCACATGGTTGGCCACATTTTTTTTTTGGAGAGGTTTTCGCTATCGGGTGCGTACGCTCACCAGACAGACAGAGAGAGACATAGAGACAGAAAGCGAGAAATCACCCCCCATGGGGGATGGTCACGCCGCAACCCCTTCTCCTCCCTTCTCCTCTCGGGATCTTGGACACCCATGCACACGCGCCCAGCATGAGTTTTAAGCCACTGGGTCCAGGACGCGAACCGCGGTCGACTACGTGGAAGTCCAGCGACATAGCCATTACGCTAACTGCTGGTTCCCAATGGTTGGCCACATTTTGAGTCCTAGACCTGTTGGCTTGAGAAACACCAGGTGTGTGCATGTGTGCACATGATCCCAGGAGAAGAATGGAGAAGTGATTGTGTCATGGCATTCCCCTTAGGGAGTGACTTCACTTTCCCTCTCATTGTCTCTCAGTCTCTTTCTCTCCAGAGAGCACACATACCCTATGGCAAAAAAAAAGAAAAAAAAATTTAAAAAAAAGTATGGTGGGTAACAGGTAGAGGGGAGAATTTTCTTGTTTTAAGACATGCAGAGATTTGACATTTAAATGCTAGTAGAAAGAAGCCATTATGTTTTTAAAAAACAGCAATGAGGGGCCAGTAGGTGATGTGGTGGTTAAGGGTACTGGACTCCCACATGGATGACTGTTGTTCAAGTCCTGGACCTGGTGACTTGCTTTCTCACTTTCTCTCTCTCCTCTCACTCTGTCCCTCTCTGGTCAAATTAAAATACATACATACATACATAAGTAAAATTAAGTTATATAAAATCTTAAAAGATATAGTAGTGGGATCAGCAGATGGTGTAATGGTCATGTTGCTGAACTCCCACATGGTTGATTATGGTTTGAGTCCCATCCCTGGTAGCTTACAACTCATTTCAGGTGTGTGTGTGTGTGCATGCCCAAAATCCTGAGAGCAGGTGTAAGTGCTGCTCCATGGTGCTCTGAAGTAGTGGCCCTATCTCTTCCCCAAACCTAAACGGCTCTGGAACCAACAACATGGGTTCCTAGTCTAGTTCCACCATGAGCTGTGCATCCCAGGGCAAGTTAGAAACCTTTCTCTGTTACGGACCAGCAGGTGGTGCAGTGGTTACATCACTGGACTCCCACATGGCTGATCGCAGTTGGCATCCTGGACCTGGTAGCTTCAAACTCACATTGAGTGCATGTGCATGTGTGTGCTTGCCCAAGGTTCCGAGAGGAGAGTGGAAGAGAAGGGATTGTGGCGTGACGACACCGAGGGTGATTTCTTGCTTTCTCTATCTTTCCGGTGAGTACACGTGCCCTATAGGAAAAATCTCTATGTCTTACTTTCCTATTCAGTTTTCTAAAGGATTAAGGTAATAAAGGGCTTAAAAGAGTGTCTGACACACAGTAAATGTAATTTAAGTGTTTGCCACTGTCTATTAGTTTTTTTGTTAAATATTAAACTTGCTAGGGATCATGAAAACTAGGCCTAATCTGACTTGATTGTATTTGCTGCTCTGCCATGAATTTCCTTTTTGACATCCTCAAAATCAAGGTACTACTATCCTTAAATGCTATAGAAATATCCAATTAACAGATGGTTTCAGAGATTAAAATAAACTCATCAAAATGAGAAAACTGTAGCTTATACTGTTTTAAGTGTTAAAAATTAAAACCTTAATATATGAACTAAAGACAAGAATTTATATATCCAATGCTGGAGAACCATTATGAAATTAAGAGTTCACTTACTGAAGAAGGCACATCTTTGAGGTTACTAAATGGCATGACCTTCTCTTCCTAGAAGTCCAATCCAATGATAGTAGATTGAGCATAATTAGGAATGGTCTGTTAAAACTGGTTTTAATGTCTAGAGTGAAGTTGAAATATATATTTTTTATTAATAAAATAATGAAGGGCAAAGATAAAATTTTAGATCAATGTTTTGAACAAGGAAAGATAATCTGAAGTTAACTTCAGCTCCACCAGGAGGCAGTGCTAACACGCTGAGCAATTTAAATTCATTTGGCTTCTAAGGTTCTACCCCTGTTTCTATGATTCAGTTGTTATCTGCAAACTAAGTCTTCAGTGAGTGTAATGTAACCCCATCTTAGTTATAATACATATGTAATATGAGCATAGAAAGCATCACAGAACAAAAAAATGTGTCTGGTTTTTGGGTTGGTTCTTTTTCATTGGGTAACGACAGTAACAGCATTTATAGAAAAGAGACTCTCAAATTCCAAAGGTGTAAAGCTTCATTAGAAAAATTATATCAAAATAAAAACATTTATCAAGAACAACAACGGCATTATTTCATTCATCGAATTCAGCAAATTCATTTCAAACATGAGCTATATAGCACAGAAAGCGAAAGGACACCATAAAGGCTTATATGACTAAGTGATCTGAATAACTGCCCCCTTAAAAACAAATACGCCATATGGTTTAAACAAAAGGCAAGTGCACTTCCATTTTCCAGGCTTAACTTGCAGGTTTTTTGTAATTGAATTTACATTAAATTTTCTCCATAACATAACATTTTCTCATCTACCACCAAATACTTTATTCTCCCAAATGTTGAAGTCAAGCATCGAAAACCAGGTGTTTGTTGTTACCTCTGTTTTTATTTTGCTGAGGAATATGGAGCTGCGTTGATGGTCCATCAAGTTCAAGTCTGTGGATATCTTTACTATCTGCTTCCTTGGAAGTAGGATTAGGGGAAATACAGAGCTACTCAAGGCGCTGCAAGGTGATGACAATGAGCTTTCTGTCTAAGTATGCCTACGAAGTTCCCTCTTCC